TATTTTGGGCAATGTTACCTGGCCTCCTTTTAAAACACTGGTTAGGAAATGGATTCTGGAAAATCTACAGTGGGTTCACGCAATGACTGGAATTTTCATGCGGTGATGTACTGTAGAAAATTACTGAGACAATGCCCTTGTTATAAAACATTACACTCTTCACAAGAATATAACTGATATCTAATGGCGTTACATCTACAAAACATGAAAATGTGCATGGTCACCGAAACATAATATTTCTAGTCACTTCAACTGCAGTTTAGCCAGATGTTGAAAATTTAACTTAAAAAAAAATGTAGTTGTGGAAGCAATCATTGCTTCAGGCTGTTTGAGAGTAATGCTTCCTAAAGTGTCTAAAACATAAAGGAATGAACTATTTAGTTAGTTATTTACAAATGCTTTTTGCCACCTCAGTCAAAACAAAACTAAGCAGTTTACAAAAGCAATACACCAAAGGCAACTGTATCCCCACGTGCACTCTCCAAATTATCCCCTTTCCTGACTGGACAGTTCTGCAAGAAGAAAAGCCTTGTGCTTTCTTCCTTTAACCTCTTATTTATTCATCATCTTTATCTTGATTTGGAAACTCTTCTTTGATATTCCAAAGTTATCTATGACATGAAGATCATCCCAGCTGGCCAGCTATAGCAAGAAAGGACCTAGATTGGGCAGCAGTGATATAGCAAAGTGCTGTGGGCAGATGATCATGTTAGTGCCAATGGCAAAGACATCAATTCATACTGTGCAGGCAAGGCAGTGATAAACTACTCCTGTATTTTTACCAAGAAAACCACATGTATAGAAAGGATAAAATTATTGACGATATAGTGCTGGATGATGGGCCCCTCAGATTGTGACATTCAACATGCCACAGAGGGATAGCTGAGGATCTTTTGGAGTAGTAATGGTTTTTGTGACATGGCTGGATTAAAGCCTTCTGGATGTCTACTTGCTGTTCTTGGCATACAGGAAAAGAAAATGTGAAGCTGCAAAGACAGAATTATGGTAGGAATATGGAATGTAAGAAGCATGAACACAGAAAAGCTCAAGACAGTGAAACATGAAATGAAACCACTCAAATTGACATCTTAAAAATTGAGATGGATTAGGATTGGACACTTTGAGTCAGAAGATCACACTGTTTATTACCAGAACATGAAAAACAAAAAAGGAATGGAAGGGTATAGCAGAACAGTACCTGGCTACAATGCAATCAATAATCAAATAATATCAATTAGTTTTTGTGGACAAGCCTTTAATGTGATATTCATTCAAGTTTATGCTTCAACCACCAATGAAGATGAACAGGAGGTTAATGACTTCTATGATCAAGTTCAATGTGATAACCACAGAACATGCAAGCAACTGAAAGACTTCAATCTACATTCCAGTACCAAAAAATAAAACTTAACAGAGCATGCACAATATCCTTAATTTCACATGCTAGCAAAGTAATGCTTAGGATCATCCAATGCAGATTAGAGTCCTACATTAAAAAGACCCCAGTTGTTCAAGCTGGCTTTAGAAAAGGCTGAGGAACATGAGACATTATTGCTGATGCATGTTGGATAATTGAGAAAGCCAAAGAATACCAAAAAAAAAAAAAAAGAAGTCATTATGTGCTTCATCAATTATAGAAAGGCCTTCAATTGTGTCAATCATGACAAGCTGTGGAACATGCTCAAAAAAATGGAAATCCCAGAACATCTCATTGTCCTCATGACAAACTTATATACAGGTCAGAAAGCCACAGAACAGACAGAAGATGATGAAACAGACTGGCTACAGGTTGGCAAAGGAATGCAACAAGGCTGTCTACTCTCCCCTTATTTATTCAACCTATATCTTAAATATATATTAAACGAAGCTGAGCTGGAAGAATTTTAGTGTGTTTTTTAAATTGGAGGAGGGAACATTAATAACTTTCACTATGCCAATGACACTACCCTGATAGCTGAAAATGCAAAGGATCTGCAAGCCGTAGTACTAAAAGTCAAAGAGTACAGTGAATAAATGGGACTAAATTACCCCTGTGGACAAGGGGCTATTGAAAGTATAGCACACGTCCTGTTATACTGTATTTTCTATAAGGACTCACGAACCCATTTAATAACTCCTCATTTGATAAAATATCCAGGGAATTCTGATCTCTTTCATGTCCAGTTGTTGCTATCTGATCAGAATGATTTAGTTTCCCTGAACATAGCTAAATTTTGTTACACTGTCTGA